GAGATGGCTCAGTGGAATAAGCGCTTCCCTGGCAAGCACAAGGGCCTGAGTTCAATCCCCAGTTTCGAAAAAAACCCTCTATTTTTTGTATGTACATTTATTATAACTTAATATTAATTCCACTCACCTGATCTAAGACTTAAACCTAGACTCAAATCCTTCAGACATACTATAGAGCTCTGATACTACAAGAAACAAATGCATAAACACTGAAGAGGTTTATTTATAGCATTATGTACAATTCACAACCTAGAGTCTAGTTTCAATTTTAAACTTCATCCTCAACGGGGGAAAAAAGAATATTTATACAGGATGACGCTGACCTGTATCTGCAGCCTTATCGCAACAAATGGTTCAGAAAGGGCCTCTGGAACTGATCTTATACCTGGGATTCTGCTCCTCCACACTGTGACCGGGGAACTCGTTTGTGTCAGCTCTTTAGAAAAAAAGGAAGTTGGCCTGATCTAAAGTTGGTGCCATGTGGAATGGTGACAGTTCTCGGTGCCCTTTTAAAAACACACTCTATATTCTGTCCCTTACAGAAAACGGGGCACCTGTAAATGGTGCTGCACTTAGAATGAATGTCTGATACATGGTAGCTGTTAGGTATTTGCCTGGCAAATGTACTCGGAAAGCCATACTCTGAGTCCCTGAGGTGACCTGGTGCAGGGACATTTCCCCCACATGAAGAAGGAATTCTCAAGTGCCAAGGTTTCTGAGTATGGAGTGGCGATTTTTATACTAAACCAGATCATAATAATAATAAAAAAAACTTTTATTTACGAGCCAGGTTTAAATGTCTAGCAAACTTGATTCTTAATATACCTCAATTTTCTTACAGCTATTTAGGGTGCAGAGTCCAGGAAGACAGCTGTGCAGGCAACGAATCCTACCGCGACGCAGGGCCACGGTCCTGAATCGCCAGCTGCCGTGGTGGGCATGCAGCAGCCAGGGCTGAGGGCGCAGCGCCCCCCGCGTCCCGTGCCGCGTCCCTGAGAGCTTTTCAACACTGACTTCTGGCTTCGCCGGAAGGCTGCAGACAGCTCGAGTTGATCAGCTTTTTGCTTTCCCTCAGAAACACCTTCTCAAGAACTCTAAACTAGGACACAAAGTCATAGTACACGAGTTGAAAGACTGTGTATGCTGATGCGACCCTGGCATAAGGACAGACTGAGAACGTAATCCAAAAATAGACCCACACAGACAAGGTCAAATGACTTCAACAGAGGTGCCAACCTGATTCAGTGAGGAATGGATAAGCCATTTTACAAAGGGTGCTAGATGGTTTCCATTCAAAACAATGAGTCCTGGCTGGGGAGATAGCTGAGGGGTCTAAACACCTGCCTGGCAAGCACAAAGACCTAAGTTCGATCCCCAGTACCGCATGCCCCTGCCAGCCCCACAACGAGCTGGCCACCCAAACTGGGGGGGGGGGGCACCCGTAATCCCAGCGCTGAGGCGGCTAAGATAAGAGGATCACTATGAGTCTGAGCTGTGTAGCAGGACCCTGTACCAAATTTAAAATAAAAAAAAAAATCCACCCCTTATCTTCCACAACACAGAAAAATTAAAGTAAATCAAAATAATAAAGAAGCACTAGTGTACATGTGATAGTGAAAAAGGCCACCACCACCACCACCACCCCCTGGTGAAACACAAAAACCTGTGCTGCGGGTAAGAAGGCAGAGTGGGGCAGCCACTACAGTACAGTGTGGCAGGTATTTTTTCCTTTTCTTTCCTGCTTTCCCTATCTTCCGTGGTCCCTGGGATTAAGCCCAGGGTTTTCATAAAGACCTATATACCCAGCTCTTTTTAAAGATTTGTATTTTGAGGCAGGATCTCACTAACTCTGCAAGTCGCTCAGGCCGGCTTGAACCTTTCATCCGCCTGCCCCAGCCTCCCAGAATACCAAGATCACAGGTAGGCACCAAAACAGCCGGCCTGCAATTTCTTAAAAAGATAAACATACCAGCCACACACCCCAGGAACCCCACCTCTATTTATCCAAGATAAAGTATCTGTAAACAAAGAATATATGAACATTTATAGCAGCTTTATTTGTAATAACCAAAACACATATAAACAATCCAAATATCCAGAGCGATGAATGGACAGTGGTACATCTATAAAATAGAATACTACCCAGGAATAAACAGGTACCATCTGCTTATAACATACAACAAATGAATCCCAAAAGCATCATGTTTACTTGAAAAGCCACACACAAATGGACACGTACTGTGTGGTCTGATTTCTGTAACATTCTGGAAAAAGCAGAATTATCACAACAGAAACCAGATCAGCCGTTGGCCAGGGCTGGGCCAGGGGAGAGGGGAGACTGGGCTGGTCCAAAGGTCTATTTTTGACTGCCAGTATGGTTACATTACTGTGTACATTTGCTGAAATTCATACTGTACACTTAGCATTTTCTACTGTAAGTTATTTTACACCAATACATTTGACTTTATAAATAGCTCTCTTGATCTAAAGCATGGATCAGACACTGCCAATCATTCTCTTCTTGTTCCGCCGGCTCCAAGCCTGACCCTGAGTTCCGCAGCTCCAGTGACAGTGAGGAAGAAGACAGCATTAAGCAGCAAGAGGAGAAAATGACAGAAGGGAAAACGGAACGTTTGTAAGGGGAGCTTGCCAATAAAGAGCTACAGAAGAGAACTTGATATCCATTTTAAAAAAACTGCAAAGAGTTTCTCTTTCGGGGAACTTTTCATACAAGCCCAATGTGGCATAATTTTCAGGAGAAAAAGCTGGAGATAATTCACACCCAGTATCAAGAAGATGGCTATCCAGATTACAGATGTCCAAAACACATGATCCTCTGCATGCCGGAAGACTTCAATGGCCCTGGGACTGTGCGTACGACTCAAGGGTACTTGTGGTGGGTGCCTCGTCGTAAAAGTAAGCTGCGGGGCAGCAGATGCAGTGGTTCCGTTGGCAGATGAGGGACACGTGCTTGTGTGCCGCAGGAAAGCTACGGAACACGGGTCACCCGGGTCACCCGCGGTGTTCCCACGCACAGCCTTGGGAAAGCAACTGCGCCTGCGCGGTGCAAGGGCGAGGCAGATGGTGGTATTTTTTTTTTTTTAATTTTGTACAGTTCTGTGTCCTTTTCAATGGACACTGATTAGTTTTGTATTGAAAATGAGTTAAAAGTAAAGAGAGGCACGGGAAACCGCAGATCTGCCTCGCCGGAAGGGTCGCAGGGTGAAGGGGAAACTTCAGCTGTCATGCTGCCATCTACTGGACAAGCAAGAATCTGCACACGGGAAGCAGAGACAGACACACCGGGAGGGGTAAGATAAGGCAGGAAAAAACAGTGTGAAGCCAAATGTCTTGACTATTAATGAAAACTGCGAAAAGGCAGCAAGCAAGCACAGTCAAACACAGAAATTAACTTTACCAATACACACACACACGAGACTTGGTAGGCAAAACTAAGCCTAAGTGGTAACTTTTCAGACCTGTTCTTTTCAGGACAACTATCTATTTGCTATTTACAGGTATCAGTAAAATATTTATAATGAAACATCTCGAAACCAATAGGATTATAAAGTGTGTTCACATTTTTAACCGTAGGTGTCAGGAAATGAGACAAGTTTATGGGAGAAAAACTGACCCTAAAATCACAGATCAAAACAGTTCCCTTGTCTTCATTTGCAATTTCTGAGAAATAAACAGAATGTGAAATAATTTTAAAAAGTCAAATAGTTGAGTAGATATATTATCATCAAGTAGAAAGAAAGGGGTCCAAATAACACTACAGCATTTGCCTTTCATAGTAAAGAAAGGAGAAATTTAAAAATTTTGAGAGTTCCACTCCTTCAACAGTTTCTGAAGTTTTCCTTGAGAATTACCAAAACCAAAAAGCCTCCTAGGAAGATAATTGGTTCTTTTCTTTAAGTTTGTTTTCAGTGCTAATGACTTGGCGTCCACACCAGCCCCTAAATGAGGGGGAAAGTCCATAAATAATTTACATGTAGAGATAAAAGAAATTTTTAAACAATCCACTGTTCAGCAGAAGAAATTGGGGATCGCTTTGAGTGTTAATGTAAAATACATTAGTCTTTAGCAGCGGGAGTCCCAGACCCGCCGGTGCCTTGGAGGTAACAAATAGTCTCTATCTACGAGGGGGAAATGGGCCGCTCAGCGGGAGCTTTCTTCCCTGTTGTGTTATTTATAGGGAGCTCTATTTGTTACCATGTTTCTGCTATCATGGCCAGGGCGAGCTTAATGATTTAAAGGATTTCAGAGACAATTATTTAATGATCCGATGATTTATGCGGGTTCACAAATTCCAGATAGACAGCAATTTCGGGTTTCAAGCTCCTGTTGCTAACACAGCCATGGGAAATATCGCAAGAGCAGGGAGAGAGAAACCAAGAGGAGCGACGCTCCGGGTTGCGCGAAAAAGTTAAGAGTGCGGGGAAAGACCGTGCGAGAAGCGCTACTTGTTAGTCGCTTTGCCAAATTATTTTTACGGAAAATCATGAATTAAACCCCAAATTACCTGTGACTAATCTGGGACTGTCTTCAAAAGACTAAGCTGCCCGACTTCCACGAGGACTCTCTCCCCAGCCCCACCAGGCACAGAACAAACCTGAAGCAGCGTTTTCACATTAGTTATCCAAAGAATTTTCTGAAATTTCACATTTATTTTGACAATTAAAGCAAAACTTTCATTTGAGAACAAAGTTCTGAAATCTTCTTTGACATTTAACCCAGAGAAAACAAGCTTTGAAATTTTCATTTTTGCTAAGGATTTTTTTTTTTTTTACCCATTTTGTCCTACTGCAAAGTAAAACACGCATGTCACACCACCGAAAGTGTTCAAGTTTATATAATAATCTCCACTCTCATAAAATCCCATCTATCAAATTATCTTCTACAGAGAAAGCTTACCGAGACAGCCGGTCAGTTCTAAAGGACGTTTCTGACAGCAGGTTAAATGTTCAAGGCTGAGTATGTACTTACATAAAATAAAAATTCAGACATTTTGAGTACGAAAATAATTTGTAAGCAAAATACTAATAAAAGCATTTACCATTTGGGGGAAGGATACATTTAAGAGAATGTTTGATTTTGGAATGATGAAGAAATCAACTTATTACTACTTAAAATCACAACTGACTTTATTTCAAACTTGAGAGCCGAGCAGGTGGAAGGACGGCCGCTGGAGGGGAAGCACGAGGCCCTAGTCTCCTTTAAATGCTCTGGGCTGATGGCGTGCTCAGTTCTCGCCTGGACCCGGCCTCTGCGAGCTCTCTGCCTTCTCCTGGGGAAAGCCTCTGCCAGTCGGGGCTGGCCCTGTGCTCCTGCAGGCACTGGGGAGCTCAGAGACACAAAGGCTCTTCCTCCTCTTCCGGGGAAAACGACTGGGAGCGGCGGCCGGGCCCTCGCTGCTCTTGTCACCGCAGCTGAAGCCCACCACCCCTGGGTCTTGCCCTGAGCCCTCCGTCTCTTTTCTAGGGGGCGAACTTTGCAGCTCCCTGCTGTCCAATGTACAGCTCGTCCTCCTTCTGGCTTTCTGGGAAGCGGAAGGAAAGGGAACGGCCAGCCACACGAGCCCTTGGCTCTCGGGATCTCTCTGGAGCCTCGTGCTCCGCCGCACTTTGGTTTCACTACTGGTGCTCTGCAAGGCTTGCTCTATGGCGTCGGACAGATCGTGATACAGTTTGGCATTTTGGAGACTAGCTGCCACCGTGCTCTCCACGCTGCGCGAAGGACTACGACTCCCGTCGGGCTGTGACCAGACGCAGTGACCATCAGCGCGACGCACAGAGCGGCGTCCGCGTTTCCTCTCCCCGCGGCCAGGCGCGCTCCCGCTTTCCGCAGGCTCACCGTGGCCTTCTGACTCGGATTTCCGCTTCCTGGTGACATCTTCTGAGCTACTGAATTCTTCTTGGGCGACACTCGAGGAACTGCGCTGCAGCTTTCCCGCCGTGGCCACTAAGAAGTCCTCCTGTTGCTCCAGCTCTAGGCCCGGAGCCTGCGCAGCTTCCAGGCTCCGACAAAGCGATTCTGCGCTCGGCCCAGCAGCGGCAGCACCTTCCGGGCACTGCGGGGGCGGATCCGGGCTCGGGCCCGCGGACGCCGGGCGCTCGCTGCTCGCAGAGGCACGAGGGGCAGGACCGCGGTGGGCCTCCAGCTCAGTTCTGAGCTCGCTCCCAGGCTGCAGCTCCTTCTCTGCCTGCGGGACACTTCTGCTGTCCTCAGTGCCTGTGCCTGCGCCTGCATCTTCACGAGACGGGGCCGCGGGCAGTGAAGAGCCCGTCTCGTCCAGGCGGCAGAGCTCAGAGGCGTCCGCTCCATGGAGGCCTCGCTGCAAACGCAAATCCGGGGGCCAAAGCAAGAGCCCCCTCCTCTCAGCTGACGTTCGCAGCAGCTCCACGTCTCCCAGTTTGCCAGCTGAGCTGAAAGCACCTACGGTAGGCATGGAAATAAGTTTAAAGGCAATTAAGAAGTAGCCATTGAAATAAACCTTAAGATTAGTTCAATCCCCGGTTCTGCAAAAAAAAAAAAAAAAAGGTTGTAAAATAACTTTTAAAAGTGTCCAGGCCTACGAGCCTGACACTGTATGTGTCCCCATTTGTCACTCTAATCTCTTTTAGCTCTTCCCCAGCGCACTGGTTAAGACCCTGTACTCAGAGCCCCGCTGGCCACACTGTCCTCACCACTGCCCTGTTCCCCTCAGTCTCTACCTAAACTGCAGCCTCCGATGAGTGACACCATCTTGTATGGGTTTGAGGCCTTCACAGAAGATGAAAAAGACCATCAGCACGACTGGCAGGTGAATTTACACTTTGACACTTTTTAAGTGAATTTACACTTTGACACTTCTAAATCTCATAAAAAAAAGACTTCTCAATCTCAATAGTCTTTGATGCTATCTCTCTGATTATCTCAGATATCTAATATGTCAGTCAAAAGAGTATACAGAGTTCTTTAAACCAAACCAAAGGGCGGAGGGGATGGCTCAGTGGAATAAGCGCTCGCCTTGCAAGGGCAAGGGCCTGAGTTCAATCCCTGGTTCCACCAAAAACACCAAAAAAATTAAACCAAACCAAAATAAGTGGAGTAAAAAGTCTAAAACAGTGTTTTAATCTCAATGTATGTCCACGACTAAAATATTTAAAAATCATATTTAGAGATTAACATTGGTCATAGGCCACTCAATGCCAACCAACAAATATGTCAGTGGACTCTTTTATGGCTTAAAAATTGATGTTAATAGATTTTTCATAAAATCCAATATGTAAGAAAAAAAGGTGGTAGAACAAGAAGGGAAAAGAGATGGAGAAAGGAAGAAGATGGAAAAGAAGGAAGAAAGGAATGGAAGGTGAGAAGGAAGGAAGAAAATAAACTGCCTTAAGCTCATCTGCTGAACAGCATTGCTGGTTTTAGATTCAAAAAATGCTTCAGGTATTTAGTTTCAAAGTGATATCTTTTTATTTTATTTTATTTTAGGGAAGGGTCCATTGGGTGTTCAGGGTCTCACTACTAGATTGGACTCATAGTGATCCGCCTGTTTACAGCCTGCCATGTGCTGGGATTACAGGCACCCGCCATCACGCCCAGGCTCTCAAAGTGACATCCTGATACATAAGCAGGCTTAGATCAGATCAAAATGAGGTGGGGTGGCCGCCCTCTTGTCTCAAGGCCCTCACCGGGGACAGGTTAGGGCAGAGCAAGGAAGGATGTGGGCTTTGGGCGGTCCACAGAAGCGCCTCCTCCATCCCTACAGTTGAGAAGTTTGAAGAAGCGGAGGGGCTCTAGGGTCACGCTCCTCACCCAGCCTCAAGTCCTGTCAATCACAAATCCTACAGTGCACCCCAAAGAGAATGCAGGTTATGACTGATGACTGACAAAGGAGCTCCTCGAACAATGATTCTATAAAAACATATACATCAGCACGCCAAGTGGACACACCCTTACTACTTTCAGCATGTCTCAGTCAATGTAAAACTCTAGTGCTATAAGCCCAAAGGCAGCTCTAATACACTTTGAATCCAAGTGTGCTATTAACAGACTTGATTCATATTGATAAACAGCCTTCAAGGCAGTCAAGTCGGTTTGCAGATGCCATTTCTGGATGTCCATTTAGTGGTCATCTTTTCTAGCAGCTGCCTGCTGTGACAAGTAGGGCCACCTCTGATGAAACAGCAAGGGACAAGATTTTTAGTTCTGTTCTCGACTCATACAACATTCAGCGCCTTGTTCACATTTAATGATGGATACACAACCAATGGAGCACAACAAGATGCTCTGAGAAGCAAAAATGATGATGACCAGAAATTATCGCCCCCAAAAGACAGACAAAATCTTGTGTCTGAGCTGGTCCTGGTGGTACACTTCTGTACTACAGGACCCTGGGAGGCTAAGGCACGAGGGCTGCAAGTTCAAGCCCAGCCTGGACAATTCTGTGAACAAGCAAGACCCTGTCTCAAACTAAAAAAATTAAAAATAGGACCAAGGGGTTGAAGTCTCTATGTTGTTTTAGGGGTAAAAATTACATATATATATATATCTCCACACACACATATAACACATATATATTGTTTTAGCAAAATGACCCAGAGCTTTCATCAGATTCTGAAGAGGAGCCAAGATTACCTCAAAGTTACAAACAATTAACAGCTTCCTGTACTTAAACTTTCCACAATAAGAAGTACTACTCTTCTTATTCACAGACGCATTACAGAGTAAAGGTGAAAAGGGAAGAAGAATCAAATAGCCACAAAGAGGGTGAAGAGAGAAGAGCAGAGGTGACAACCGGGACAGGGGCACGCATACACACACACCTGCGCGCAGTCGGCAGACGCCTGCAGCCCACAGGGGCGCCTCCGAGACCTCAGGCAGCTCCGGGATAGGGCTCAGGAGGGGCTTTTTGGACGCAAGCTCTCTTTCTCCGTACAAAGATTTCTCAACACTTTTCTTGCCCTTTCTTTTCTTCTTTCTGCCACCTTTCAACATCTAAGAAGATGGATTAAAATATTATAGCTGAAAAAGACTTGGTCATGTACAATGTCGAAACTCTAACACCTAATTAACTTTAGTTCCGTGATTCACTTTATACATTGTGACTATGTTTAGATAATTTTGACAGGAAAAGTTACCACATTTAAAATACTGTAATCAGTTATTACATTCAAAATATTAGGCATCTGAGTCACTAGGAAGGAGCATAGTAACATAGAAGTCAGAAAATATGAAGCAAAACTCAAAACTGTACAGCACGATTGACCCAGTATGGGTCATCTACTGAAATGCCACGAGGCTCCCTCTGTTAGCCAGTGGGCGCGAAACAACGGTAGGCGTGTGAAACTGAAGACAGCACAAAGCTCATGGGACCGACTGACACAGATGAACTGAGAGAGCTAAAATGAACAGGCCAAAGAGCAAAACGTGATTTTTAAAAATATGGTTTCCATAAAAATTAAAAATTTAGTAATTTCCAGAATGCAGTATCACATCCAACTTAGAGTGCCCAACCAGCCACTGAGCAGTCACAGCCTATGCTTATTTGACAAAGAAGTTTACACTTCGGGTAAACTCAAATAGTGTGCTGAGTACCAGAAACACTTGTGAACCAAAGGAAAGAAATATATTCCAAGTGGTAATGTTGGAGGGAACCTGACTTTAGGCCAACATCAAAACCTGCTTGTAGCAATTAATGTTTTCAGAAGGTAAAATTCATTCAAATACATCTGACAAAACTGCCATGTGCCAGGCAATGCGTGGTAGGCGCAGGATAGGAACAGTTGTCACTCTTCTGCCAGGCTCTGTGGACTAAGAAGATGGGCACCTGGCTGGCAGCGGTATTCATGATGGGATGCACAGAAACATGTCCGGGTAAAATCCCACACATGTGAGAGGAGCTTCAGCTGCTTAGAGGGCTTAGTGGAAAGGCCTCGCCAAGAGAAGGGCGGCAGGAACTCAGCGCAGGCAACACAGATCGAGAGCTGCTCCCGCCCGTGTACGGCAGGCTGTCCACCCGGGAGCAGCAGAAGCCGAGCCCACGGGAGGGCCCTTGCAGCAACACCTGAAATGAAAGCGGCCCTGAGCTCACACATTGGAAGATGAACTGGGTGTCGTCGGCACACAAGGCTTAGGAGAAGCCAATGGGGTGAGAACAGTGGGTGAGATCAGGAGTAGAGAAACAGCACAGAACGGTGTGTTCCCGGAGATATCTATAGATATCTTATAAAAACAAAACCCCACATTCCATGCAAAAATAATTTTAGACTGCTATAAGATGAATGGTTCCTCTTGGTGACAGGCAATACAAGTTTAACATAAAATTCTGAGAAATTTTCAGTGTAAATAATCTCTAAACACAGAACTTTCCATTAGGCATTTTTTCATGGAACATCTGCTGATGCTCCTTGGAAAGGCTGGGGAAACGTTGGCTTGGTCAGTGGAAGTAGAAGCCAACAGGGGGAGCGGAAGCCAACAGCCAACTTGAGGTACAACACTCAGATGTGCTGCACAAGAAACACTTGGCCTCTGGTGTCAGATGCCTTGGGTTCAAATCCTAGTTCTGCTGGTTAACTGCTTTGCAATGGCAGGCAAGTGACTTGAGCTCTATTTCATTCCCCCTTTCTGCAAGATGGGAATCACAACAGCAGACAGCACACAGAGCTGTTTTTATTTGACTGTTAACACGTGGAATGGTTAACACAGGGCTCAGCCCTCACTAAGAGGTGCACTGGCTACTCTTATTCGTCTAACTTTAAGCTTATTAACATATCCACTGCCTGACATTTTTAGTATCAAATTATGCTATTAATACTATTGTGAGGCACAGGGCCTGCACTGTCAAACGGTCGATGTTCCCAGGCTATAACCTCTAGAATAACTCTGACTCATAGATGAAGAAAAGCAAGGTCCCTGCTGGCATGATTCTGGAAAGCTTCCCTTGTGCAAGGTGGCCCCTGCACCCACAGCAGTGCCCCGCCTAGAGTGGCAACACATACGAATGAATGGAAGAATGGCAAGGAAATGAAGCTGACATAAAACTATATGACTGAAGATTGCTTCTTCGTGACCACAGTCTAAGAGTGTATGCCACAAAACAATACGGCCTCGCAGATCTGTCAGTCCTAAAGTACCGACCATGAGGCCATTTCCTTGGCAAAGGCTCAAAGCTGATGGAGACTTGCACTTACCCCATGCAGAAGCCTTGCCTATGACGCCATCTACAGAAGAAGCGCCTGGGACTGGGATGCTTGTGGAAGCCATGCGATCCAGAAATGGGTGCTGGTTACGACTCAGAGCGGGAGAAGGACAACTGAAAATACTGTCCCTAAAGCATTCCCATTTCTCCAGTCAGAAAGACATCGCCAGAGGCTGGGCAGTGAAGTACATGTTCACTGTTTTACTTGCTTACAACTTACACTATTTTCAGAGAACAGCTTTAAAGTCACTTAAAAATAGCTGGATGTGGAGGCCTGCACCTGCAGTCCCAGCATGCTGCAGGCTGAGGCAGGATGATCACGTGAGCCCAAGAGTCCAAGGTCAGTCTGGGCAACACTGCAAGACCCCACTTCAAAAAAAAAAAAAAAAAATTATCCAGGCGCATAGCAACCAATCAACTTTCCAGAAAAGCTTATAGTGATAAAGCACACACTTCCCGAGCCCTGATGTCTGCTTACACATTCACTGGCCATTTTTAGTTCCTCTGACCAGCAGCTCCTTCTCTCCAAATATCTGATGTATCTCTGACTTCTTATAATGCGAAATTTCAAACACCCTAAATGTATAGAATAGTGAGTATACTGAGCCCCAGGTACCCATTACTAACTTCAACTTCCCTTATGTTTTAAAGTTGTAACCTTACGTATTACCTAATAGGTTATATTTATGTTTCAGGGCTCTGTACTCCTCTGCAGTCACCTCCTTTTTGGTCCGTGGCAGCTCCCTCAAGAGTCCATGTCCTTTAACATGAGCAGCCAGTGCCCTCTGGCTGCCAGCCCCATGTGGGCCTTAAGGACGCGGGCTCTTTCTGCACCTGGGGTTGGGAATCGCAGGGGAGCCCTTTCGCCACAGGCCCCTGGTTTCCTTTAACTGGCAGAGGCAGTGACGCTTCGGGGACCTAGGAAGCTTGTTCCTCTCAGGCTAACCACGGCACAGACCTTTTAAGTGCAAACAACATAATCATTTCACACTGAGAATTCCAACCCTTAAATTTATTTTTAAAACAAAAAAAAAATTTGTGGTGCTTTTGACACAAGGTCTTGCTCAATAATCTAAGGTGGCCTGCAGCACTGACTCTTCCTGCCTGTCACCCAAGTGCTGGCACTGCAGGAATGTGCCAGCATGCCTGGCTCGACTTTGCAAAATTTTGTTTGTCTCACAGTAATGTCTTGATTCTTACAGTACAAACCTGTTTTTGCTTTATTCTAAGTTGATTGCTATCAATATCAGTGCTTCACACTGTGTATGATTTCTTAGTAGTTACTGTATTTCCTGTCTTATTTAAGAGTTACCTCACTACGACAGTACCACCTGGGTTCATGAACTCACCCCTCTCCATGACTCTGGTCACAAACTGAAAGGAAGAGACCCAAATCTGGTTTCCCCATAAAGCCAGCACTGAACCTAATCGCTGAATTTGATTCAGTTCTAATCTGATTGGTTTGTAACTAAGGTAGAAAGAATTAAGTTTGTGAACCGAGGTACCACTGTATGGGACTCACACTTCCAGGTTGAAATAGCCCTTAGTGAGGCTGGGCTACCAACTTCAAACTTCAAATTGTTCCATTCTGCTTCCAATTTCTAAGGAGAGTGCTTTTTCCTAGTTTTAATTCTGTTTCACAGTCAAATAAAACATTTACATGGTTACAAAGTCAACTAAAAATTATACTCTGAAGGAAGTCAGAGTTTTCATTCATAGTCTGGCACTTCTCCCTATAACCAGGTTTTGTCTTGGGCTTTCTTTTCATTCAATATTTTGTATGTATACACTTGTACATTATTTTCCGATGTTCTCTGCCTTTTAGGTAAGCCACAGGGTACAGGTAGCAGAAATGTACCATCACACAACTGTGCAGGCTACACGTCTAGGCTGAGGGTGCTGCCCGGCTTAGCTTGAGGCCTCTCTTGGGCTAGCAGAGCCTCCTTTTCTGTGTACACCTGCAGCTGGTGGCCCTTTGTGTCCCCCTCTTCTTACAAGGACATGAGTCAGACTCGAGTCATTGCCACCAATGACCTCATTTTAACTCAATCAATCCCCTTGGTAGGGCCACATCTCCAGTCACACTTTCTCCCAAGTACTAAGGATTAGGACTTACAACATAAAATTGAGGCGGAGGATGCAATCTGGCTGCGAACTGTTAGGTTCTTCTATACACGGCTTTTTAACTTCTTCTCTTACCAGTCAGTATATCCTGGCATCGCTCCACAGTGGCATATGGAAGTTTTCTTCACAGCTTGCTATAGCTGCATGATACTTACTTTGTGGACACACTAGTCTACTCCAGAAGGCACATCTTCCTTTTTTGGTTTGTGAAACAGGGTCTCACTTACCAGAAGGTGTCCGAGCGTGTCCATCTGACCTATGACTTCCGCCCCACAGTTTGCTGCCAGCTTCTAGTACTGCTGATCTAAGAGGTGGGCAAGGGTCCCTCCCTGCACATGAGATCGACAGGAGCAAGTGGGAACATGTTCATGCTTAAAGCACTTTTTCATTTCAGTTTTGTAAACTTTTTATATTTCTTGGGGATTTTTCTATAGTTATTTTCTCAATAATATAGAAACCTTTAGGGCCAGCCAAATAGCTCAGTGGATTAAAGCACCTGCAAGCAGGCGCAGGGACCAGGGGTTCGATCCCTGGGCCTGCCATGCCGGCCCCACCCGCCTCCTAGGGGGTGCTGGGAGGTCAACTGAGACTGGGCGTGGTGGTGTGCACCTGTAATCCCAGCTCTTGGGAGGCTGTAAATAGGCAGATCACTACGAGTCTGATCTAGTAGTGA